GCCGCTCATGTGATGCAAATGTGTCGCATGTGTGACACTTATGTGTCGAATTTGTGACACTAATTAGTGTCGCATTTCTGACACTAATGTGTCGCATTTGTGACGCAAATGTGTCGTATTTGCAATGCTGCTATGCTTTTTTTGCGACACTAAAGCACCGATTTTGTCACGCTCTGCGCTGATTTTGTAATGTTCAGGTGTACTGCTTATGGAATCTGAGAACATCTAGACGCCAGTGAATCTTTAGTTTGCCCTGCAGAGTATTTATTCACCTATGAATCAGGTAGAAGGTTGCATAGCACGACATGTAAAGGCCCAGGAGGCACAGCTCGACTTGTGTGCCCACCGCAAGACTGACAAACTGAAGGTCAGGTACACCACGGCATAAGACTAGCATTATTCTACATCTATTAGTTGCAAATTGATTTTATTTCTGCTGCTGATTGGTTGAATATCATTGAAGCACTATTTTTATTTCACATATAGATTATTCATACTATTCAACTTCTTGATACCCGACACTATTATTAAAACTTATCACATTTTTTTCATACACTTATATCACTAAATTAGATTACTAAAAAATTTCGATGCCGGATTATGTAGATGGAAAGTTTAAATTTGCACACAAGAAATTTTTAAAGCCAACACCAGCATTCTTACAAATAAGTGACATCGCTTTACTTTCAGCTTCATTTACTTTCATTATGCCTTCAAAAGGTGCACGTCTTGAATAATTGTGGATTCTCTTGACTTTGATTTAATCTCTTACAAACAAAATATACGAGGCAAACGTAATCCCTACAATGTATTGGGATTGATAAACGATTGGGAATAACCGTAATGGTTTTGTTTGCCTTGGTTCACCTCAATTGAATTGTGGATTCTCTTGACTTTGATTTGATCTCTTGCAAACAAAACATATGAGACAAACTTCATCCCTAATTTATTGGAAATGATAAACTATTGGAAATAACCGTAACGGTTCTGTGAATTTTCAAAACATATGAGGCAAACGTCATCCCTACAATGTATTGCGAATGATAAACGATTGGAAATAACCGTAAAGGTTCTGTGAATTTTCACCTTGAATTCGGGGTTGCGCAAAAGAGGTTGTCCTTCTTACGCATCGAGTTCATCCCAGGCAAGACTAGGAAGGAAGGCCACTATATTGCGTAGGTAGACGTACTTGGTATGCCATGCGATACCGCATTGTATGCTGCAAGTGACCAATTTGTGGTCAAAAGCTTTGCTGGTTTTAATTCATTTAATTTTCGCTACAATTCATTTCATAAAATTGAATAGGTTTTGCGATGAAGTTTCGGTACAATCTTGTCCGAGCTTATTTTTCAAGAAATAATTTTGAGCTAATATAACTATAATTCATAATTTTTATTTTGACTGAATGTGGTAAAGATAGCATGCTGCAAATCAAAAGCCGATTCGTGGTTGTCGAATATCAACTGCAACCTTATAAATGTTCGACAATGTTGTCTATGTAAATATACGTTCGATAATGTCATCTATGTATGTATGCGTTCGAAAATTTCATCTATTTTTTTGCTGAAGGTACAGATTTATAGAAAGTTTCTATGTAGAAAACACTAATACCGTAAATTGCATGATGCCGCAAATTACCAGATACCGTGAATTACCGGTTATCGTAAATTTACTGATATAGCGATTTACTGATATAGCGATTTACTGATATAGCGATTTACTGATATAGCGATTTACTGATATAGCGATTTACTGAAACCGTGAGTTTACTGATGCCTTTAATTTCCTGATTCCGTGAATTTCTTCAAAAACTTGAATTTCTTTATTCCGCGAATCATCTGATACCGAGAATTATCTGAAACCGTGAATTACCTGTAACCGTGAATTTCCTGAAACCGTGAATTACCTGATACTGAGAATTTCCCTATACCTATGCTGTGATACGTATACGGATATTGTGAATTTCCCTATATAATTTTCTGATTCTGAGGAGAACGCGATACTATGAATTTCCGGTAACCATTAATTTCCTGACACCGCCAATTACCTGATACCGCGAATTTCCTGGGGCCATACTTTCAAAACTCGCTAAATGAACGTAAGTACTTACGCTCTATTTTCTTCTCTGATATTGGTGGATTTTGCTAGAATGGCCGTCAATGATTGGCTGATGAACTTACGATCTTTTAACTTTTTTTAAAAGTATAGGCCCTGATACCGCGAATTTTTGCCTGACACCAATAATTTCTGATGCTGCTAATTACCTGATACCGTGAATTTTCGTCTATCGCAATCTATCTGATGCCGTGAATTAATTTATAGCAGGAACTACCTAACCCAAAAAAGAGAAATAAATTAATTTATAGCACGAACTACCTAACCCATAAAAGAGAAATAAATTAATTTATAGCACGAACTACCTAACCCATAAAATAGAAATAAATTAATTTATAGCACGAACTACCTAACCCATAAAAGAGAAATAAATTAATTTATAGCACGAACTACCTAACCCATAGAAGAGAAATAAATTAATTTATAGCCGGAACAACCTAACCCAAAAAGAGAAATAAATAGCACGAAGATCGTCTTGTAAACCACAAACATTCCGCTGCTGACACGCGTCACGAAGCAATCAGCTTCATGACAGATGCTCGTCGTTGCCTGTTTTAAACTAATTTAATTTTTTTAGTCGTAGATAAATAGTCTACTTAATTGTTGTAATTTTTTACCTTCATTATGATTCAGCTTTGCTTGTATTCCTTTCAAAATTTATTTTATATTTTTAAGAGAATTTTCAAGCGGTACTTCTAGTATGACCCAACTCGTACAGTTTGAAACTCTTCAAAAATTTTATATAGTTGTAGGCATCTTAAAAAAATAGATACTACTATTATTGCCTAAATTTGTTTGTCAAGAACAACCTTAAAAATCACACTAAGAATTTTGTGGATTAAAATTGATAATGATTCATTTCACAATGGAACCTAAAATAAGTGCGTAAAATCTTAAAAAAAATTCAATACACTTTTGATACAACTTTTTTCAGTATACAATCAGTATACATTGCATTACTATATATTCAATTACATTAAGTATACATTGCATTATAAACAACACCACATTATACATCACATCAAATCATACATTGCGCCACGTTATATTTATACATCACATCAAATCATACATTGCATATCATACATTATACATCAGACTCGGTCACACGGATGCCCAAATAATGACGATAGTTGGACCAAGCGGCCGGCATCAGTGAGAGTGAGCAGCGGAGTTCAAGGTTCCAGGNAGATTTATATTTAATATTCATTTATTTCCACATTTTATTATGCATTTTATATTATGAGTTTTATATAGTTTTATCTTATATATAGTTTTTTTGTTTCTAATATTATTTTATACATTTGGTTATATTTTTATAAAAGATGCTAGATTTCAGGGTGGTTATGCCTTATTTTCTTTCTGAATTTATTGTAGGTCACCCACTAATGTAAATATAAAATTAAACCCGATTAGTAGTGATATAAAACTTGTGAACCTTATATTATGCTAGTTATTGTGTTTGTAACGTATGCATGTTGCATATATTTTCGCTGATAGTGCTTATTTAAATGCGTCATAGATATTATTTACGCTAAACCAGTTTAGGAAATAATGCTTGTTTCTATAAGTAATGCTTGGCAATGCCTTAGCTTAACAAAACGCATTTTATACTTCTCAATAATCATCGTCATTTATGTCATACGTCATATTATTTAGAAATATTTGCTATATTCTCAACCCTTCATACAAATCACCAATAACAATTTCCCATATCACAAATGTGACACATCAAATTTATCGGTAACTTTGTTATTGCACGTTCCATTTACTTGTCACTCAAGTTTATCGCTCTCACGTTTATCACAGGCAGGGTTTGTTCTACTCGCCCTCGCGGTATCCTGTGGTGCCACATTCAAGGGAGGTGGAAAGAAAGGTGGATACGGTGGATACAGTGACGAGGTGCTCGTGCTGGCCGCTCCACAAGTAGGATATGGAGGAGGATTCCATCAAGCAGGATATGGTGGAGGATTCCAGCCTGCTGGATATGGTGGAGGGTTCCAACAAGTAGGATATGGAGGAGGATTGCAGAAAGGACATGACAGCTTGGAACATATTGAGCACAGTGCAATAAGCCATGGAGGTGGATATGGAGGTGGAATTCAACACGTTGGTTTTGATGGAGGCTACCACAAAGGAGGATATGGAGGAGGATACCATCAACCCTTGGCTGTTGCTCCAGTACAGTTGGTGCACGTTCGTCCAGTTCGAGTTCGACCTGTGCGTGTAAGACCAGTTTATGTCCAGCCAGTCCCCATCCAACCAGTTCATATTCAACCAGCCCCTATACAACCAGTACATGTACAACCAGTACACATCCAGCCCCATTACCAACCACAGTACCAGCAGCCAGTGCAGCTGGTACAGGTGGTAGGAGGTGGGGGTTACGGGTACGGAGGAGGGAAGAAGGGAAAGGGTGGTTATGGTGGTGGTTTCGGGTACGGAGGAGGAAAAGGAAAAGGTGGTTATGGTGGTGGTTTCGGCAAAGGAAAAGGGAAGTTTTAATAGAAGAATAGCTCTAAATTAGTTACTGAAATAACTTGTTGATAAAAATATGAGCCTTTATTCCAAAATCAGTTTGTAAAATCAGGAAAACGTTACAAGTTATTATCCTGTACTGATGAAAAACAGAATAAATGGTAAACACGAAGACATGTCTTTCATTCACTTTCGCGCGACTACCAATAAACATTATTCCTGAACTGTCAGTATCCTATCTCACCATTATAAGTCGTTCAGCACTATTTTTGTCACGCAACAGTGACAACAAATAATAATCGAAAATACCAATCATTGATAATCGAATCCATTGAAGATTATTTGCTCCTATGCTCGTCTTAGTTATATATCTTCCTGCGCAATGAGTCCACTTACCTAGGAAAAGACAGATGATTATTCGTTTTATGGTTGCCTAAAATTCGGTGGAGGTTTCATATTTGCTGAGACTAATGCAATAAATTTGCACTTTCTCTCATTTTGCCATGACCTTCACTTTACTGAGTAGAATTCTATCGATAAAAATCAGTAGAAGTATCAATAAAAATTCTTCACGAGCCCCCAAATCGAGGTGAGGAATAAACGTTGATAACTGAAATCATGACACGGAGAAGAACTGAAAAAAATTCAGGGTAGAAAACTTCAGGGTAAATGCGAAAAATGGTTTAGTAACTTGAATTTAATTTTTCCATGAAGTTTGATTCGAAATTTTCAGGCTGATTTTTTGCACATTTCTAAAGGACTTTGGTTTTACAACACTTATATCGTTCTATCTGCACGCAAAAAAAAACAGGCAAAACTTCAACGTATATATTATATTTAACTATCTTTCGCTGGTTGATCTTTATCTTTCTCTCTCACTATACGCGCACAATTAATAAAACGGTTACAGGTTTTTTGTCTTCCTCCGAAATGTACAGTGCTAATCCAACAGTGATTTTTCAAATAATGTGATTCAACACATTCAGGTATCAATGCAGATTAACTATGGCGTATTTATCAATTATACTATGATCTCAGACGCTAAAATCACATTACCCCCCGCGTAGAATCAAATAAAAAGGATTTGAAGCGTATGATCAAAATTACTCCACCTACCTAACACCCTAAAAAAAGACGCAGATTTAACGTCCAATGGCCAAATATTCCCCTATATATATCACTCACAAGAAAATTTTTATTTCAAATATTCCCATCAATGACAGATAAAAGGTTGGCAGTTAGCGCAAGGCCAACATTAAGGATAAATAAGAATGTGCATGCAAACTTGGGCGCTTTTTCAGCGATAACCGAAACTTGAATAATTGACAGCAAACAAAATTTCTGGTAAACGTGAAATTATACATAAATTGAACATGAATTTCATGAATACATTAGGTAGGTTAATATTGTTTAATACTGAATTTTCGCATCTGAAAACGTGGAATTTCTCATTTTTATTTTAAGTTGTAATTCATACTAAGGAATTAACGATATTTTCTTTTTTTCTCATTCGTCTTAGGCATAGCTCTCTACAACTTAACTCATCTATTATAACTTGCTAATATTTATCAGCATATTTAGACCGGCGTCTTAGTTATATCTAGAACAACAAAAACTTCATGCAATATATTCACGCAGTAAATGAAGAAAAATCATCAGAAATTGAATCTGAAATCATGAATTTCATTAAATTTTCTTATCCTAAAAAGAGACATAGCGTTGACTGGAATCAACGCTAGTCTATTCTTTAGCTTCTAGCATTAAGCGTCCATTAATATCAAGTATTAAATTGTCTTGTAATAGATTA